AGCACTTTGTCCATGCAACTTTTCAGACAATTCTCCTGTGCTCTTTCATGTGAAGAAGGACTGTTCAGTGGTTTGTTTTCTTGGGCTTGTTAAAATGCAGCTAATGAGGACTAAATGGGACCCTTAGAGGATTTGGGTCAGATTGCTAATCCAACAGCAGATCATTCCCAGTTTTGGGGGGTTAGTTTTCTACCAGCTTAGGGGGTAGAGTTAGATCTCTTATGTATTATCCAGAAGCAGGTGTGGCACAAAGGGAAGCAGGAGAAGGAGCCAGCTGGCATTGGGTGGGCAGGGCAAGGATGTCCCCTTTGGTGGCAGGTGGCTGCTAGAGTCCTTATCTGGTGTCAAACACCATAAAAGCAGTTTGTGAAGAATCAGAGAAAGTGTTGGAAGTGTGGGAAAGATGGCAAGCAACTGTCTCCATTTCAGCCCCAGAATAGCCAGTGCACCCACATGGTTTGTGGGAGACAAGCTCAAACCTGCTTAATACTTGAGATAGACTCAAAGCCAAGTCCCAGACATGCTCTGAACATCTGTCACATTGCCTGGGAGAACCTCTCTCTCCTTATTTTGCTCTACTTACATCTTTAATAAATTTTTTAAATGGATCAGAGGTTTGCACTGCAGTCTCCACTGCATGATATATGCTTTGGGCTACCATATCAGTGTCTCTGATAAACATTTAATTTATGACAGTGGAACAACTCTAGGAAGAAATATTAAGGAACAATCTCATTGAGGGGGAAAAGAAGAAAACCCAAGATGACTTGGCTGATCAAAGGGGTGTGTGACAAGGTTTCTGGTTGCATACTTGCATGTTGGCATGGTGGACATGTGGGAAAGGTTTCTGTGAAGCAGGGGCAACCTGCCTCTGGGCAGTGCGAGGAAGGACAGCAGCAACATCTGTGTGCAGTGAACTTCAGACATACCTCCTGGGAAGAGCTGGTAGATGAGGGGAATATGGAGGCCACGAGGAAATCATCCCTAGAAATGTGGCTGGAGGCCTTTTGCATGTGTGAATCTCACATATAACTTGCTACTAGCAGAACAATTAAATGGAAAAGAGAAACTTGTTTTCAGCCAAGTGTCCACTAAAAATTGAAAAAAATCCTTCAAATTCAAGTTCTGTGAGATATACTGGTGGTTGTCAGCATTTGTGACTGGGTTATTATATAGCCTTAATAGTTAAGGTTGTCATTAACTACTGCCCAAGCAAGTAGAAAGCAGTAGGTAAATTATCCCTGATATTGTTTTCTGTCTGCAGAGGAGAGCAGTAATGCATATGGACAAAGCCACCATCAGGTGTGCTGGGGCAAGCAGCCTTTTGGTCCTGCCTAGGGAGACACTGCTTTGTGGGTCAGTGGTGGCTCATGTGCTTCTGGGAGGAATTGTGACTCCTTCCAGCCGTGAGCCATGTCCTCTCTAAAATCGTTCTTCTCAGCTTGGCAGCCTTCTCTGTGCTGTTGACACTGCCTGAGCCACCTGTGTATACATATAGTTTTCCAGGTACTTCAGTATTGCACTAAGACACTGCAGCTGCTGCAGGCTTGATCAGACCCCCATGTTAGCCTAGACATGGGAACAGAACTGGGACAACACTGCTGAAAGTATATTTGCAACCCTTCATTGACAGCTTCAGAGGTCTTTTGGTGCTGTACACTTCTCAAAGTCTTCACTGAAGTTTAACTATCAAGTAAGAAAAAGCAAATACTGGAGCATGGGCACAGAAAGAGGAGGCTAAACAGCATCTCAAATTATGTTTCAAGCATTACAATATCCAGTTATAAAAGCATCTGTATTTCATTCTGAACCATTACTTGGATGACATGCCCAGGGCGAGAGAATGGAAATCACCTTTGCTGTCTGCTGTGGAGTAGACCCTTAGTTGTGCCTTTTCACCTAAACTGTAAGAGTGACCAAGAGGGGAATGGCTGGAACAGGTGCCTTTAGCCAGTGGAAATACACTCATATGAGCAAAGTCATATTTTCAGCTGTGCCAGCAGCATATTGCACTTGTACCCTTCTGTTGTCCTCTGAATAAGACCCAAAAAAAAGAGAGGTATAAGAGGGAACTGGGCACAGATAAGTATCTGATACCCAGTATCCTGCACACTTAGCAAATCTTACTCAAGGTAGTAATTCAAAAAATGAGAATACTGACAGATGCCTTCATGGAGGAGTTAGAGTTTTGAAAGCAGAAGTGAATCAGTCAGTGATATGTGAGCAATTGCAGTGTGTTACAAACATCCTCCTACAAAAACAAAGAAAACTCCAACAGAAAAAAAAAAACAACACAGAAACCTAAAAACAAAACCCCAGAAAAGACTGAAGTCTGCTTTCTTGGTTATTCCCTGCAATTACTCACCCATTGCAACCTGAGATTTTTTAGGTCTCGCTTGAGCTGCAGGAATACTCCTCAGCAAGCTCCTGTGAGCAGCCAACTGCAAAAAACATTGAAATATGATAAGCGTATAAGAGCATTAAATGGTAGCATTCTCCATCACCCACAGCCTCTGTCAGTTGTGCTTCCAGGCCAGATGAAGCTAGAATATACATACAGCTGTTCTGAGTTGTAAAATACATTTTGAAATGGGATTGATTCATCTGCGTTTCATGAGATTGAATTAAGCAAAACAAAAAAGTATAAAGACTTGTCTTTTTTCCAGACATTTAATAGAAATACTCAGTCTCACTGGAACATAATAGAGATGTGCTTTCAGCACACAGATGTGCAGTAGTGAGAGCCACATTTTATGTAAGCTGCTTATTCTTTTGTGCAGTGTCAAGAACTGAATGTACTTTCATACTCCTTTTTTTGGCCTTGACATGAACTAGTGTCAAAGCAAATGAAGACCTGGTGGTAAATCCTTTTCAGCACTGCTAATGATTATAACCATTGTGGAGCTGTTACTGGCTGTCTAATCGTCTTTGGGAAATCAGGCTTTTGATGCGTAGACCTTGTATTCTGAATTTAGATTTCTGCTACAGAATTTGCTGGTGTGACTGATTATTTAGAGGATCAGAAAAGTGTGTGGGTCACAAACTGCAGAGTATATTCAAAGTAAGTTTATACTGAGCTTCAGTGGATAAAATCATTAAGAGTATGATAAGTGATCTGAACAGAATTACATGGGCAAAAGTTCACACCAGCATCTCCTATCTATAAAAATGCATTTTAGTAGAAAACTGATTTGCAACTAGATATTTTTCCACATGCAGAGCAAAATATGAAGAAGAGCAACTGAGCCTGATTTTCTTTTTCCAGTTCCATTGCTTGCTTTATATTTAGGGTTTTGTACTGTGGCTGTGTAGATTTTACAGCCACAAATGTGCCAAAACTCTTGACTAGTTAATTCAAGTTGATTAATAAGCAACATAAAATGTCTACTTTCTTCAACACCTGCACACTGGTTTTCTGTGTTTTGCAAATGTAAGAGGTACAGATGTGTGTTTTGACTTTGACCTTGTAAACCAAAAGTGTTCAAGTGGTAGATCCTGATCTAGATTTGAACAGCAAGGAGACATTTCCTGCATTTCCCCAGAAACCTACATTTGTGTGGTTGAGCCTCTATTTTCAGTTGTTCCTCCAGCTGCTCTGAGAGCAGCTGCACATGCAAGCAGTGGGGGTGCTGGGCAGAGCTGACCTGGTGTGCTGCTTTCCATAAAACTAGTCCCTGCAGCTCAGTAAAAAATCGAGGTACCCTACGTCAGCATACGTTGGTCACCTCAGAGGGTGGGTGCATAACTCTGTCTGTGACCACTGGAGTGCATGAGGTCTGTTCTGCTGGAGACACTTCAAAATCTATCCTGTGTTTTTGTGTAGCTGGCATCTACTTACTGCCTCTTTAGTAATTGCACAGGGTGGTTCTGCCTCACCTGTACAAAAAAGCTTTCGGTCTTACGTAGTCCCCGGCTTGAACATGATTTTCCATTCCCTCATGTTCACCTATTCCTACTGTCACCTCCAAAATGAAGAGGGACTATTCTCTTGTCCAGCTGGTGATTCCCCCACCTCTTCCATAGGAGTAGGATACATCTTACCCAGTGAAATCTGTTTGAAAGGGAAAACCTAGTTCAGCATCAGCCATGTCCATACTTCTAAATCATAGAGAGGCAGGGACAAGGTGACACTGGCTGATGTCTCTTCTCTCTGCTTAGTATTAGCCTTCTCAATAAAAGATTTGTCTTGATAGGTAACTCAAGCAGTCCAAAACAGGCCTGGAAGTGGACTGAAATTAAAGAGTGAGCAGTCTGGCATCCAGTGCTTGTAGATATTGCCTGTGTCTATATTATTTAGCTATGCAGACATACCTGTAGCTGTTTATTCTCTCTCTATTAGCACCACTAGAGAAAAGCATTGTTAGTAGTTGATTTATCTCACATATTTCAGACACTACTTTAAGGTGAAATGAATCACCTTTGAAAGCAACTGACTCTCCATAGACGATGGAGGAAGTCTACATAATAGAGTTTGGGTGGCTAAAGGTAGGAAAGCACATGCTATCTGTGTGATCATCCCTTCAGTATCACGACACTTGCACTGAGGTTTTCCTGGCAGAACTTTCAGTGGATTTCACATGGCATTTTCCTCCACAAGGATTGTCAGAACAGGAGAAAACACGGTGCATGCTCCCTCTCACCCCATTTTCACCCTACTTCATCTTCACCTCTCACCAACAGCTTGCCCTTGGGGGAAGATGGATCACAGGACCACAAACCTGGCTGAGCAGCTTCTCCTGCTGAGAGGAGATGGTTAACACTTTATCTCAGTCACCAAGTGGCTATGCACACCCCATGGTCCTGTGGAGACAGGCAGATTTACAGGCAGATTCGAGAGACTCTATCTTATTTTCTGATGCTATAAAGAATCTCTTCAGAGTGATGACAGTACTTTAAGCAGCAAACAGATACTACCAACTCTCTTTGTTATTTCCTTGTAATTAAAAGAACTTCTAATTCAAAATAACAAAGTGTGAACTTTTTTGTCTTTTTGCACAGAAATTGAAGCAAAGGAAGCGTGTGACTGGTTGCGTGCAGCTGGATTTCCCCAATATGCTCAGTTCTATGAGGGTAAGTTTGTCTCCTCTTTGTGCAGTACTGAAAGTGCACTGGGCTTTTGCCAGGAGAGCTTGCAGTCGGCCAACTCTACATTTGACTGAATTATGGCCATGGCTGGATGCTTCACAAAGCCTCAGCTGCTGGAGTCATACCAGCACAAAAAAGAAAAGTAAGATCCTTGCCCTCACAGCCATGGGAAGTTAAAAAAAAAGAGCAACATAGTTTGTGTAAACCTCAAAGGTTAACAAAAACAAGTACAAAATATCCAAATACATAAGTCTATTTTTTTAAAACTTTCTGTACTGTGTCTAAAGGCAAAAACACTGAAAGCTACTGAAAATTTCAATCTTGCTGAAAATAAGATTGAAAACTCTGCAGAGTTATAAAAAGTGAATTATTCTGAGCTGCACTTCACATTTACAAAGTCAGAAAAGCTGATATTTCATTACTAACTCAATGCAAATGGCCATGTCCCCTTTCTAGCTGTAAGGTTGGTGCACAGCAAAGCAGTGCCCTCAAGGGCAGGGTGAGTGGTATGCACTGCCACTGTGTTCAGTAGTTTGGGGGCTGGAGCTGGATTTTTCCTGGTTTCCATAGCGCAATGCTGAGAGGGAAACTACAGCTGATCCTCATTTTTCCTAAACTGTATATTCTCTCTGCCAGAGACACAGCCAGCTCAGGCCCTCTCGGCCTTATTAGCTGAAGTGCAGCTCTGCCAAATGCCTCTGGACACCTTCCAGGTTCAGCTTGAGTCTGGAGGCAGCACAGCTCCACACATGGAACAATGGCCACGAAACCTCATGGGTCAGAGTCAGCTCTACAGAGAGCTGGCTTGAACGCTATCCATCCCCTTGTGTGGGGCTGAGGGTGGTGGGGAGCATGGTGCTGAGAACACCACCATAGCTTCTAGTGGCCAGCTGAGGTCCATCAGGACTCAGGTGTTGGGTCCTGATGGGAAGCCTAGGTACCCAGGGAGTAGGAGCACCATGCAGAGATGCTCAGGTGGCTTCACAGGAGACAGGCTGTCTCTGTTAAATCCAGCAAGGAACTAAGACTGGTAAGCCTGCCAAACCAAAGCTGACATAAATGTGTGTCTACCACAGTCCATGGGTGGGCAATAGTACTTTTGCCTCTGCTTTGTAATCAGAGTATCTCAGACACTGACTCCCCCAGAGAAAGGAGAGCCTGCTGCCTGCTGAGCTCAAAGGGATGTTCTCTCCAAAAACCACCCTGTGCTGGGCTCCTACAGTTCCCGTGCAGTCGGTGTGCTCTAGACAGTCTGTGTCTCTGAAAACAAGGTCCTTTTTGCAGGCATCTATTATGTCAGTGCTAAGCACCCGTGTCTGAAAATGCTGGCTGCAGTTCCTGTACCCCAGCACAGCATCCTGCTGCAGTACCTAAGCATGGCAGAGCAGTCTGGAGAGCAGCCACAGCACTGGAACCCATCCCATCATTACAGAGCCCACTAATGTGTTGCAGCCATGTTACTTTTCATTACAAATGTCAGCTTCCAGCACACTACTCTGGCTTTTTCGCTAATATTGGGGGTTATAATTCAGCTCTTTTTTTTTATCTCTTACTTGAGTAACCCTCTGTCTGAAATCATTGTCATTGGGACCTGTATTAAAAGCAAACAGTCCAGAACATTTCTGGTTTTGGGGAAAAGTCTGTCTAGCAAATAACTCATTAAGTTAGTGCAATGGGAATGGAGAACCTTGTTGCTTATGTGGATAAAGCAAGTGTGTTAGCAATTCCCTGATCTCATTCATTTGCGTTAGATGCTAGAATGAACAGCTAACAATTGAGTACTTTTTTTAAGCCAAAATGAAATAATCTTGCTTTTACCCTGATGCACTGCATGTTCAAGCATATCTTCAATGGTAAAAAGCTAAATAAATAAAGTGGTTGAAAGGGTCGCAGCTGGAAGGGAACCAGAGCTGAGTGAAATTGGTCATACTAGATTTCAATGAGCAAGCACATGCAACACATTGTAGATGTAGACAATGCATTTTCATTTGAATAGCAAGCAGTCATCTTATTATTGTGTCTTCTTTTATAGACTCCCAGTTCCCCATTGACATTGCTGCAGTAAAGAAAGACCATGATTTCCTTGACAAGGACCTTGTAGAACCTCTTTGCAGGTAAATAACATGTAAAGTTTCCTTTCTGATAATTTAAAAGCATGATCTGATTTGGTTTTCATACTGCAGAAGCAGCAGTAGAGACGTTTGCTTGTTCAGGTGAATTAAGTGATGATATCTATAATACTAGCGTTTTGAATTAATTTCTTTTATGGAAAATCCTACAGTAGGACACCCCCTACACTCACAGAAAACATAACAATATTTGAGAAGATCCTAATCCAATGGATTTGAAATGGCTGCTTTTTAAGGACTAGCAGTAGTGCAAGTAAACCCTGAGTAAATGAGTCACATTTTTGTTGCAGATTAATAACTCATGTCCAAGCGCAGCAGAAAAGATGAAACTTCATTGCATAAAATTCAGCGAGTACTTTCTCTGGCAGCAGACGTGGTTTTCATGCTGCTGTGATTCCCTTGGTACTCTCTTTTTGGCACCAGTAACAGAACTGGGACCGGAACCCCCCAGTACTACAGCTGCTGCAACTGATCACTGGTTTGTCCCTCCCAGGGGGCCTGTGTTTACTGTTTATCTTGCTTTTTATGCTCTGCCTGTGATGAATGTACTGTATTGCATTGCTCAAGTACTGTCCCCCAGGACTCAAGATGCAGCAACTCTGTGGCAGTTTTGCAAAACCACATTGCAGAGGCATTGTTCCCCTCTTTTTGCCTGTGCTCAGCTCAAGCTGGGTTCTGCTCCTGTCCTCTTCAAGGAATGATGAAGGAGCATCTGGCTTTGTTACATGTTATGGAAACTTTCACAACACCAATATCAAGATAATTGGACAAGACTCTTTTCCCTTTCTGCAACTGTGGCTAAAGTCATCAGAGATGGTGTGCTGTTCCACTGCACATCGTGTTGTGCATTGCAGGGATTAATGAGTCTGTGATGGAGGAATGCAGAGAGGGTTTCTAAGAAAATAGGACTGGAAGGCTTCATCTGATCTCTCTGTCCATCACATAACTCCTGAGCATAGCTGTCAGATTGCTTTCCCCAAATGCACTTGCTGCAAGTGAGACCTCTTGTGTCTTATGTTGTCTGCCATGGTTGTGGAGAACAGAATATTCTCATTCTCTATGTAGTAGCCTTTGTGTCCAAAGACAAATCAGTAGGAAAGACTTGGATCCTGCAGTGATCTCTCTCACAGACACCAGAGAGCAGAATTAGTGCAGACTTGATCCACTGCTGTTCTGCGCTGCTTGGTGAGAGGGATTGCTATGCCCATACCTAAGAAACCTTCCCATATATATGTACATCACCCTGCTTCAGTCTGGCATGATGGAAGACACAGTTTGCTGCAGTTTGGGAACTGGAAAGCAGTAGTAATAGGAGGCTGAGATCTCTTCCCCTCTGCCCTTTCCCACCAAGTTGAAGGACCAGCCAAAAATGCAAGTAAGATGCCTGTTCCTCTCCCTTTCTTGTGACAGCGAACAGTGAGCTGTAGTCAATCTGTAGCTCTGTGACTCTTCTTTGTCTTTCTTCTTTGGAGTAATTGGCAATGATAGTACTGCAGTCATGGTCACCAGGCATCTAACAACCTGCACAGCTGAAAATGGAAACAGCTCATTTCTTGCTTCTCCAGCCTCTCTGTAGACTCACAGATACACCTGCAGTTACACTAGGTTGATGTATTTATGAGGATATTTTTGTGAGCTGATCAGCTAGAGACTGGTTGGGTTTGGATTTTTTTCGCTTTCATTAAAATAAGAGATTTTTTTAATTAACTGGTAGCTGGATAGATGAAATTATGTGACAAAATGCTTTACATTAGCCTAAATCAAGTGATACTGCTGAGACCTGTAGTACAAAAGCAGACACAAATATTTCCGAACTATTTTAATCAAAGATAAAGGGTTTTATGACTGTCTAGTAACTTTTTCTGTAATTACTTTATTCAGAAGTCAACACCTGTTGACTTGAATTTTTGTTGGAAGTTTTTAAACAATTGAGATCTAAAAAATGAATAGCACCTCATAATGTTAGAAATACAAACATTTTGTACAGGTTATATTTTCAGAATGCAAATATTTAATTTGATGTAACTCAGCAACTTCAAACCTTTAGCTGAAAGTGACCCATAAAAAGCCATTGTACCAAATGCCAAGATTCAAGTTAATCAGAAGCAGTAAACAGTGTCAGCTTCTACCCCCAGTACCAGCTTTGTTACTGTATTAGCTATCAAACCAACATCTTCTAAGTTTTCCAGTGTATTGGGAATCCTCATAGGTTGGCTGACCAGTGTGGCCAGTTTTCTACACTTCCTTTGTTCTGTGGTGGCTTTACTACAACATGCATGTCAGTATATCACAGGAGAGCTTTGATGTTCTTTGATGAAACAGAAAGTTAAAAAATGGTTGTTCTTTATTTCTGTACGCGCAGATTCTCAGGTTGGCAATCAAACTTCCATTCTCCAACCATCCAAAGCTGCCCTCAAAGCTATGCATGACCAAGCCATCACACTGACAAGTGTGTGATAGCAAGTTCAGCCCATAGTACTGAAGAAAATGGGTTTCTCATTTTTATTTGGAAGATATTTTATAGCTGGAATGCCAGACTGGATAATCAGTTTGAGCAGTATTAGCTCTGAACAGTAATAGCATAAACACTGAATTTCTGTGCTCTTGTGGGTTGAAACAAGACTCTCAATCTTATTTTATAATCAGTTTTCTTATGGCATTGCAGTATACATGACAACATGAGGCACAAATGTGGAGAAACCTTTTTTTAAGGCAGCTGGTAGTATTTTAGTCAGAAAGCCTAAGACTCCCTGTTGTAAAAGATTGCAGTGACCTTTTTGAGATATTCTAACATCCCTACTGTTTACAGTATCATTTGAAAATTTGGCAGAGGGAAAACCAAATTTGAGGCCTTTGGGTTAGAGGCATATCTATCAAGAGATTCCACTCCGATTTTATTGAGTAATGAACAATAGAGAATTGCCAGGCAATTTGCAGACAAATGCTGTCAGCCTGCCAAAATAATAATTGGGCATGAAAATTTTATAGTTGGATCTCTGTGTCGTTTCCAAAATAGCAGCAACCAACTCTGCTCTGGGAACTTTTGTGGCCGCTGTGATAAGAGGGTGAGAAGGAAAAGCCAAGCCACGTTGCACTTTTTATTTTAGTGTAAATGCGGTGACTAAAAACATAAAGAGCAAGTGTGTAACAGTCAGGTACATAGACCCCTAAACCAAGCTCTTAAAATTTGAACTATGCCAAGCAGTCAGCAGCCTTTCTTTCCAGAGCTGTTGTCTCTTAGATAGCTTGTAAATAACCCAAAGGTTGTTGTATGGGATGGGACATCCTACCATTAGAGTTCTGAAATGGTGGTTTTATAGTCAGTGCATCTGCTGAGTTTTATTGTTCTGGGTGCTGTTAGGGGATAAGCCTGGCTCTCCACATGCAGGACAGAAAGCCCTGCTCTGAAGGCAGTATAATGGTCCCATTGACTTCCAGGAGAGTTTACTCACCTCATGAGTGTGTAGCCATGGTAAAAAGATGATAGGACTGGAAAACAGTGTGTTCTCTTCACACACAAAACTGGTGGAGCAGGAATATGCCATTGCAAGCTTTTCACACCAACCCTAATGATACTGGGAGGACCCTTATTAAGTGCTGAGACCTTAGCAGAGTGCAGCTGGATGTCCTCTTCCCAAATTCAACAGCATGAGAAGAAGCTGGATAGGGACATGTGTATGCAGCATCTAAACTTGGCTAGAGATAGTGCTAAAGAAAAGAAATAGTGTTGTGTTTCTCTCAGAGAGGCAATTATGGAACCATATAGTGTGTTTTCTTGATCATGATGCATAAGAGAGGACATTTGCAGACCTGCTGAGGTAGGAGACACCATGCTGTCCATGCTAGCCCTCCCCATGATGCCTCCTCCTGCAGGACTGGCTGGTGCCCCTGACTGCATTCCTACCCACCTGCTTGGAAACAGCTGCAGCACAGGTCCAGGGATTCCCCTGCATGGAACTCCAACTCACTTCAGAGCTGTGTCCCCATTATTTGGGTTGATCTTCAAGCAGGACAGAAAGTGTCTCATAAAATTTTCCAGCTGGCCAGATTCTGCATTGCTACAGGCTTGTATTTATTTTTAAACACTACTCAGTGCTGTAAAGGATGCAAAACTCAGAGATTTCCTGCTTCTGAAGAACTTCCATCATAAGGGTTTATAATTACAGCACTGGGTTGGGATTCAAAGCCCTAAAGACATGTGTCTACTGCTGTCTTAGATCTCCTCAGATAGCCCAGACTTCTCGATGTGATGACTGGACCAAAGTACCAGCAGCAGCTGAAGGCCAGGCTTGATACTTTAGGGTATCTAAAATGGCACCAGAAACATCTGTTTGGGCGCATGAATATCTCTGCTGGTGTTTTAAGAATTGCTTCAAAGGCCACTTTTCAACATAGTGATGATGTCTCACCATAGAGATAAGTGTTAGACCACCAAGGCAGTGTTTACCTGTGATGCTCTGGAGAAGAAATAACATTAACATTGCTGAAACACTTGATGCAATAAATGTTTTGCAGTCATCCCCTGAACACAGCAGAAATTTCCAGACAAGCATTCAAATGCATCCTAGATGGTTTGGGTTTTTTATGTAGCCACCTATCTTGTAGGTTTTTATGTGGGTTTTTTTCCTGCCTTTTCTGAAGTCCAGACTTTGTGTTTTGTTAACATTACAAACAGCCAGTGTTTTCCCATGTTTTCAAGCAGTGATGTAAGAGTGTAGTGCTTCTCTCACTTCAACCAGGACATCGGTGACAGCCTTTGTAGCCAGAAATTTGGGGTTTTTTGCTTTTCGAAAGACTTGCTGAAGACTTGGCTGTCAGTCATCTGACAACTTTAAGCTGATGAGAAAAGCTTTCTGCCACTGCTGGCACATCAACAAGGCAAAAGAAGTTGAAACAGTCTGGCTTTGATTGGAGTTGTTAGTACCAGACAAGCTCACAAATATGATCATTAGTTCTCTAATTTCACTGGCAAATCTTTTCACAGCACTGGAAGAGCCCCAGAAAGCATACTGTTGTTTTGTAGAGGAGTGAATTTAAAACCTGGGGTTGAGTCCCTGGCACCCAGTAAAGAGTAGCTTTGTTTTTGATGGAGCAACTTCTTCGTAGCAAAGCCAGGTCAGAAAGCAGCCAGGACAATGATGTGGCTTCCCAAGTCTCCAGTTTAAGTGCAGCATTCACTTTTATAGAGATCACCTCTCAGTCCCTGCTGAAATGATCTCTCTTTCGGATGCCATTGGTGGAAAAGTGATGGCATTTGATGGTCTTGTTGGTTTGATCATGTGTTTTCTGCACCTTTCTGTGCTGAAGAAAATGCTCTTCTTAATAGAAACGCCACCGCACTTTTTACTGTGGGCTGTACATGCATAGAGTACATACAGGGTGAAGGGTACATCGAGGGTGTTCTCATCTCCCAGCTCCTGAAGTGACACAGTAGTGAATGGAAGGAGCACTGGTCCCTGTGTTTAAAATGTTTTCTTCTGCATCTTCTCCCTAACAACTGCAAATAGGCAATAAGTATAGAGGGGTTTTGATGAACTATTGAGAAAGCAGTTGCAGAGATCATCTGCCAAGGGCTGTTTTGGAGACAGCCTTCTTTCTCAGAAATGTTCCTTCAGTGCCTGCTGTCATGATGGCAAGGGAAGTACAAGTCAATGGCTTGGTTTTCAGAGTCGATGAGCAGCTTTGCAAGGAGGCAAAGGTTTCTCAGGATTTCTGAACCTCTGCACATGTCTGTTTCCTGGTCAGCCTTGCGGGACACATTTAGGACAAGGAAGCAAGGAGCCATTCCTGATCACTGCTCTGGCCACTTAACATGTAAAGGTGTCAGGACACAACAGCAACTTGACTCAGACACGCAACTATGAGCACTTAAGCAGCACACAGTGGTATGTCAGTGTGGAAATGTGGCTACAGACTTGTCCCTTCAGCACAGGCCAGCTAATGAAGAGGTGCGGGGACTCCAGTATTAGCTTCTGGTTTACTGCTCAGAGGAAGCTGTCCCCAAGGATAGAAAGTTGGGCTGGAGTCCTTTGAAAATATGTCTGTGCCTCTGTATATTTGAAATTGATACTGATTTGCAAATTTAAACATTTTGCACTCAAAAGAAGCAGTGAATGTTATTCAGCCCCAGGACCTCAGGAAAATGCCACTTTGGGTTGAGAAATTCCGTGTTTGGGCAAAAGATTAGTTTTGCAATAATAAATGTAATCCCGGAGGAAGATTAGTGGGCAGAAACCTAAAGATACAGCTACAGAGCCACAAAGGCTGAAATTTATTTCAGGAACGCTGCTACCATGGATATGGGGTGTGCTTGTGCATGCATTCTACACAAATTAATACGATGAGCACAGGACTTTTCTGATATGGCATAATGAATTTATTGGCTTGAGTTAGGGAATTGTATTTTATCTGCAAAGGAATGGGTGAAATTTTGTGAGGGAATTTTTTTTAAGGAAGACCTACATTTGGTGGGCTGGTTCTTTGTTAGGGGTGGCAGTTTGAAAGGAGTTCTAATCTTAGAAGTTTTGGGGAGGAATATGTTAATACCATAATGTTCTTATGCTATGTGAGAGATATTATTGATGTGATACTTTTTTCATATGTCCTTGTAAGTTACCACATGCATTTCAAATGTTATCAGTTCTGGATATTTGAAGGCTCTTCCTGAGACTCAAAAGCAACAGGGGCAGCTCTTGCTATAGAGACACAGGAGATGCTGGCAGACTACAGAAGAGTGTTGTGGCCACATGGCTCCCTCACCCTGCCTCTCTTTATTTTGAAATTCATTCTTAGGTCTGGAAAATGTTCAAAGTTGAATATATATAACTCTGCACCTCTGCTTTTAGAAGCTGGATAGTTTGATGGATCAGGATCTTTAAGTATAAGTAAAACCCAGTCAATTATCATTAGCATGGTAGGTTGTCTATTGAAAGAGCATGTTTTCTTGTCCTCTGGCTGCCCTTGCACATGGGCACACACACACACACATATGAATTGTCATTTCAACCCGCTGTCATCACAGGATAACCTTGGATTTAAGGAGCAGAAGCCTTACAGAGGCTCTGGTAACAACAGTATGAACATGATCAAAAATAACTAAAAATATTTATTTAAAGATGTTAGATTTGTTAAATGCTCGGTGTGTTGATCTGTCTATAAGATCCACAGATATGGGGAAGAAACTGCTGGCTTTAGAGAAACATTTAAGTAACTGCTAAAAGTTCTTTATGTCAACTTTTTTAAGAAAGTGCCAATTGCCAAAACTGAGGAACTACTTTTTTTTTTTTTTTGGTCTTTTCACCAGTGCTTTGAAATCCCTGTTTTAGACCAATTATGCTACAGTCCTTCATAAAGCAACTCACCTCCTTCTTCTCTTGTCATTTCCCTAGCTGACAGAGGTGTTTGTTTATACCTGTTTCCTGTGCTAAGTATGTAAATGTCTACAAATTAAAAAGTAGTCTGTATAACTTGTCTATCAGGTAAAGTGAAGCTAAGATTCCCTTTTAATGCAGTGGTCTTGCAGCTGGAATATTGATCAATGTGGTTTCTGAAGCCTGTTGTATGCAGATGGCACCCTGCAGTCTGATAAGAGAAAAGGTTTTGAACTTACGAAAAGTTGTGCCCTTTAACCAGACACTGCTAATCTTTTGAATCTGCTTTGCCCTGTAGACGACTGAACACACTGAACAAGTGCGCCTCAATGAAACTCGATGTGAACTTCCAAAGAAAAAAGGTAAGGAAGCTTCATGAAATGTGCTGGTTTTGCCCTGGCGTTTGTGACAAACCCACCCCAATTTAGCCTTTAATTCAATAATGCTCTTAGAAGTAAGTTATTTGACTTTGAACATGCCTGTCGGCATTATCTGGATTCATGATAACGTCAATTGCTGAATCTTGAAATTATAAATAAAATAGAAAAAATCTGTGACTAATACACCAGGAATAGTGATGCATATGTTAAAAGGACCCACACAGTACTTAAACTCTACATATGCAGAAGTAGATATGAGGTTGATATGAAGAAGATAAGTTAGCGGGTGAAAAGACTGGAGTTTCCTTAGGCTGGCTTGTTTGTCAATGCCATGTGAGTACATAATGGAAAATTCTGCTCAGAGATGAAAACAACAGCTTTTCTTTATTTATTGTACTGACTTCTTCCCAGTTAAGAATATGAAAATAGACTCTGTCATCTTTACAAGCTCCTGTGTACATGGGAATTATTTGAGCTTAAAGTGTTTCGTTGAGGTCTGCAGAAACTGCCTATTGATTTTCAGAGTTTTGTAACATGTCCAGCATTAACTGTTGAACGTTTGGTTTTCTGGTCACAAATTCCCCCAAACCCTTCAGTGGTGTGTAATGGCAGTTGTCGACTGAGAAATTTTGGTTTCTGTTTTTCCTTCCTAGAGCATTTGTCTAGTGCTTTTTAAGAGCTGCATTTTTGGCATCTTTGCAATTTCAGTCTAATCATACTCTATTCACTGTGTGAGGGAACTTGAACAGAGAATGGTTTTAATGTCTAGATATTCTGCCTTTAGCACATGCCTGTTTGTTCCTCTGTGTACCAGCCTCTTGAGCTTGTATTTTGTCTGTTCACTGGAGCTGGGGCACCTCTTCTCTTCACTGCATCAGGGGTTTTTCCTGTCTTGGGTTTTCCATGTCTTTGGTAAGTGCCAGCACATTCCATATCAAACACCTATGTCATACCTTACAGAGGGGCAGTAAAGTCCCCTGACTGCACAATAACTTCATGACTTGGGCAGGCATGTGCCACAGGAAGAGGCTGAGGTCCTTCAGGAAAAACTAACTCAATTGTGTGTTGACCTGCATGGAGAGGTGTCTGGTTTGCATTCATGAGCTCATGTACTTGTGTTCAAACTGGAGCTGCACAAGAGACAGAATTACAAAAAGCAAGGCATAGGTGAACACTGATTGTCCTCTGGAAAATTTGTTTAGTTCCTGTCTTCTCTTCAACAAGTATTTTAGGCTTGGTTTGAGATTTGTATGCTTGCTTGCTTGCTTCTTTGAGTGTCTGATTATGCTGGGTTAAAAATAGAGGATTTTCTTATCTTTAGGTTTTATTAATTTTTTTGCTGCCACTTCTCCCTGCTCTGAATGGATCAAAGCCCTCAGCTGCTCTCCTTACAGGTGACCAGTAATTTGGGATTGAAGAGAGATTGCCTTACTTGGTACTCTTTCAGGGGGACAGAAGCTGGTTGGGTCCATACCTGCACCAGGCCACAGAGAAGCAGGGCACAGAAAAATATAGAGAAAGAGGTGCTGAAGGAGATTTGAGTGAACAGGTGCAGAGCAACTGAAAGTTGAAGAGAGTGTGGATGAGAGAAGAAGAGGAAGGAGAGCCTGCTGACAGGAAGAAATGTAAATGCAAGTGTAAAAGCCGGAAATTGGGTCTGAAATTGAACACTGAACCAAATAAATCTTTTGCTGTAGATATTGCTTTTCCTAATAGTCTCTATGGTGATCTGAACAATGAAATGCAAAATCAGCTTGCTTTGGAGGTTCAGCATAACAGGTTTGCACAGGACTAGCACAGCTGCTTGAGTGATTCATTAAAATATGGCCAAGAAAGCTGCCAGGCAAGGTTACTGTGAAAGCCAGCACGGCATGAGTGTTCCCCACTGCGCACTCTCCCCCCCAAACCATTCCCACTGTGGGCTGCTGTCTTCCCCTTGTCTTCATCAAGATGCGCACAGAAATCCTCATGCATGTGTTGCAAATGTGCCCGTAAGTGATTTGGACAGACAGAGATTAGCCTTTGGATTAACTGCCTTCTGCAGCTGTCGATTTATGAGAATTCCTGCCCCCAGCTGGAAAAATGTGGTGGATTTCCACCACAAATAAACCCACTTTTTGCCTTTTGTTAGCATCCCTCTGTGTCTCAGGCAAGTACACCCTCAGTCAAAAAGCTGTACTATTTTAAATCAACTGTGACAAATCTGTGAATCAAAAGCTCTTTCTCTTTGGCAAATGTTATCAGTCACTCCTCAAGAAACTTGTCCCTTCTCATCTTCCCAAACATAATGGTATTAACTGGACTTTTGAATTTGCTCCAAAGCCATGCACTTGATTTCACCCTAGGTCAGTAGAAGTATATAGTCACTGCTCCAAAATGTCTGCTCTGCCTGTGTCAGAATCATTGCTTTCAGACCTTCTCTTGATCCACTGTCCTCATAGCTGGTGACATGTCGGTTGACTAAGTGCTCGCAATTTTTTTTTTTTTTGGCCAGTCTCATTCGTCACACAGATATCTGACAAAAACAGTGGTTCATTCAGGATGTTCGTGGCTTCCAGAATTTCTACTAATTCCATCGAAAGAAAAGCCTGTTATGTCACAAGACTCACAGTGCAGCTGAATTTGTAGTGAGTCACCATGAGAGTATTCCAGCATCCAGATATTTCATTTCATATTTGTCTGATTCTGCTTCTGATGAAACATGAGCATGTTTCTTTACTAATTACAAAAACCCAAAACTAAACCTTTATTTAATTGAGCTGCAGATTTTTACACCAAAAATCCTCTCTATTTTCTAAGTGGTTCTTGGGCAGAATGTAATCCTGTCTATGTTGTTGTTAGAGTCAAAACTTGTTTACTACTGATATCCATTTATGTTATCTCTGCTGTCTCAAAAAAAAAGGCAACCAAAAAAAAAAACCAAATAAACTCCAAAAAACCTGAAACAAATGCAAAACTTTTTTCCCCTAAAAATGATTTAAAGTATATTTACCACTGAATTTATGTTTATTTCTGTCTCCCTACTCTGTGCTGTGTGTTTTTCACAATGTCTTTAGCCGTTTGGCTAGTTTAATCGATTCCAGCTGTAGAAAATACAGGCTAAATCCTTTTAGTTCATACAGTAATGTCAGTGCAGCTACAGGGATTTGTGTCAGCCAAGAATCTTCTTTAAGGTCCCTTTGGCATATTGGGATGTACAACAAATTAAAAAAATATTTCTATCCTATTGGCTGGTGCCATCAACGCTTCAGCAGTGGTATGCTTTGTAGATATAATTACCATTGCTAAATATTTAAAAGTACATACCCCTGTGGTTTTAAAATACTCACTTTGTGGCACTACTAAGACCACAATAAATGGATTTTTAAGTGCCTGAGGCTGTGCAGTCCTTTGGTCCATATATGCACACATACAGCGAGCTGTGGAGCTAAAATGAAGGTAGAGCCAATGATGTGCCATTTTTTCCCTGCAGACAAAATGGCCAAAGCAGTGTTAGCCTTTTCTAGCCCCTTTTCTCCTACTACGCTGGCTGCTTGATTTTTCTCTCTCTGGCTAGCCACAGAACTAAGATCTCCATTCATTCCTGTGAACTAACATCAGCTGCAGGAGCACTGCACACCTCAGAGTCAACGAATGAAAGAGGAATGACTAAACCCAAGATTTCATAGCTATATTTTATTTTATGGTTTGGACATGATCTAAAACATCTGGCCAACTTGAAGTGATAAACTGGCAAAAGCTTATGGCATCAGTGAGACCTGGCATGCTACTGATCCCAATCTCCAGCTTTTGAGGTTTCACATTATTTAAGGTTTTGGGCGTTCTTGTAAAATTTGGTTTACATTTTTCAATTAGACAGGCCAGCAGAGATCTAGTCAGAGATTGGAGATAACTTTACTATCAAAACCTCATATAAAAATACTTCTAATAATAGACTTTTAAAATGAGAATTTTTCCAGTCCCAAAATAGTCTTTCTGGTTTAACACCTCATTTTAGTCTGACAGCCTGTCATATTTTACTGCCTTCATACTGCATCCAAGA